AGCAGCATAAGAAAGATACTCTATAATACTAAAGACAATCATTTATAATGAATATGTAAGAGTTATTAATACAATACAGCCTATCAAGTTATCTAACAATTTTTATAAAACAGAAACTATAGGAAATGTGAGGCAAAATATATCAATACGAGAGCCTTTAACACATCTCTCTTAAGCCAAGAAAATCAATATAACAAAAAAAATCACTAAGGCTACAAAAACATAATAAGGCATATTTCATTAATATATATCAAATTTTGAATACTAGTAACAGAAAATACATCTTCTTTCAACTGCAAGTTGAATATAATAGTTCCTGCTATTTGTGGTTTCACTTTTCATGATTTCAGTTACCCAAAGTCAACTGTGGCCTGAAAATATTAAATAAAAAATTCTAGAAATAAGCAATTCATAAGTATTAAACTCTATGCCATTATGAGTAGTGGGATGCAGTCTCAAACCACCTATTTCCTCCTCACCCAATGTATCCATCGTGTATATGCTATGGACCCACCAGTTTAGAAGCCATCCCAGTTATCAGATCCAAGTTGGCAATATTGGTATCAAAGTGCTTGTTTTCAAGGAATACTTATTTTACCTAGTAGTCAATACAAAGTGCAAGAGTAGTGATGTTGGCAATTAAGATATGCTAACAAGAACCCATAAATTACTCCCTTTAAATGAAATGTTCAGATAGAGACCACATTCTTTAATCATTTTTCCGGTATATTATTATAATGATTCTATATTAATTACTGCTAACAATCTCTCACTGTACCTAATTAATAAGTTAACTTTTATCATAGGTATGAAAGTATTCACATAGGAAAACATATAGTATATACACAGTTCAATAGTACCTGCAGTTTCAGGTGTTCACTGTGGTTCTTGGAACATCTTCCCAGAGGGTAAGGAAAAGATTATTCTATTCACAAAAGTGAAACTTCAGGCCACAAAGAAGACCTCAATATTCCAAAGAACAGAAATATTAACAGGATTTTTGGCCTACATGAAATAAAGTCAGATTTTAATTTAAAACAATCAAAAAGAATAAGTTCCTTCCTCTAGGAAATTCACACACACACACACACAAAACACAACTAAACAACTCTGCAGTCAAAGGGGAAATATAAAATTTAAACATATCAGATATTTTAGGATATAGCTAAAACAGTTTTCTGAACGATGAAATTGAAAAATATATCAACTAAATACCCAGTTCGCAAAGCTAATAAACCAAGAAAAATGGGATAAAAAATGATGCTAATAAAAATATTAATGACATGGAAAACAAGAAATAGCAGAGTTAATCAGTAAATGCAAAAACTGATCTTTGAAAAAATCAGCACAAGAACAGTAATTAAAATAATAAATTTAAATGGTAGAAGGCACAAATACATATATATTTATAATGGCAATTACTTTTTTTAAAGGATTTTATTTATGTGAGAGGTAGAGTTACAGAGAGAGAGAGATAGAGAGGTTTGCCATCTGCTGATTCACTCCCTGGATGGTCTCAACTGCCGGAGCTGAGCCGATTCAAAGTCAGGAGCCAGGAGCTATTTCGGGTCTTCTGCACGGGTTCAGGGATCCAAGTACTAGGGCCATCTTCCACTGCTTTCCCAGGCCATAGCAGAGAGCTGGATTGGAAGAGGAGCAGCTGGGACTCAAACTGGCATCCATATGGGATTCCGGTGCCAGAGGCAGAGGCTTAGCCCACTATGCCACAGTGCTGGCCCAGGGAGTTCTAAATATCCATTAAAACAAAAGAATAGTACCCCACGGGAATTTCTACCCAACTTTTAAAGATCAGATAACTCAAATGCTATTTAAAATATCCTAGTGCACAAATATGAAAAACTTGAAAAAATTCATTTTCTCATATGAGTGTAATAGCACAATAAACACATATCAATTTCACATGAATATTAATAACAGAAATTTTTAAAAAATAATCTAGGAAAGCTCCAAGGCATATGAACAAATAATTTACTGGACCAAATGGAGTTTATTGCAGGAATGCTTAATGAGTCAGTATCATTTAATCATATAACCTATCATATTAGCAGAAGAGAAAAATCATATGATCACATCCAAAGGTATAGAAAATGTATTTGAAAATAATTCAGCACTTGTTCATCTTTTTTAAAAATTTCCCAATAAAATAGTACTAATGGTATCTTCTTAATATCAACATGCAGCTTATGTTATATAATGATAGATGCACACATACATTTCCTCAGTTCATTTGATATGGAGATGAAGGAAACTTTCTTCTCAAATAAGGAACAAGTCAAATTTTGGTTGTTGCCATTATTACTGCATATCATGTTGGAAATATTAACCACTGAAATGGATGATTACAAGTATAAAAAATAGACAGGAAAAGGTAAATTATATGAAATATCTAGAAAATCCAAAGAAATAATGGGGAAAATATAACAGAATAAGAGACTTCTCTACCCGATCCATAATCTACTCCTTTTGTGGATTTATATGTGTTTTTGGCACACCAAATTATTCAGGTTCAATACCATGGTGTCATAACAATATAATTAATTTCACTTGTGCTTTCATAATCTACATTTACTCTAAATTTTGCAGGCCCCACCCTTATCTAAGCAGTTGCCAAGTCAGGTAGATTTTATCTTTGAAATGTCCCTCTTTTTCTTATGCCATCACCATTATCTTCCATCGCTCACCCTCCAAGTATGAAGGTACTTCAAAAAGTTTATGAGAAATGGAAGTAAGAGGTAAGTTCATTTTGACGCAAAATTTTTGAAGCCCATGCATATGAGGGGTCTTCAAAAAGTTCACAAAAATCTATATTATAAAAAAAAAACTATGCAAGGATTTCAAAATTTTTGCACCAAAATAAAATTAATTCAATTTCCCATGAACTTTTTTGAAATACTCTACCCTCCTATAATTCATAAATGGCTGCCTGTTTAGTGATGTCACTCTTGTTCAACACACAATTTCCTTGACATAAAGTCCCAATTTCTTGGCCTGATTTTCTACAAAAGCCTGTTATTTTTGCTGGCTTATTCCCACCTAACCAACATAGTTTAGTTGGACCAGATTATAGATATCCCTTAGTTATTCTATACTTATAGTTCATTATCTTGTGGAATAGTCTTTCTAGATATCACCACCTGTACCAATAAGCATCTTATTTCTAAGTCACCTATACTAACAATCGAAGTGTATTTTTCAGGCAATGTGTTAAATACTTGTCATATGTTACTTTGTTCCACATTACCACAGATGTGATTTCTTCCTCTTTGGAAATTCACAGCACTCTGTCACTGGCCTTGGTATGCATGTTTCACATTCAGGATTTCTGTTATGTAATCAAGTAGATTAGCTCTATCTGATTACATGCTTCATGAAGGTAGAGAATAATTACTGCATAACTCTGCACCACTTACAGCACGCCAAGCATTCAATAAATATTTGCTCTATTGTATAAACTGTGGTAGCACAGATAACAGAAACTAAGGTTTTAAACTCAATTAAGGTTCTCTCTGTGGTAGGGAGTTAATACATTTTTTATTTCTTGGTTCTATTCCACTGGAGCAGGCAGTTTGCTTTATTAATGCTGTATTCTCAAGGTCTAGAACTGTTCCTAGTTTGTGGCAGGCACTTCGTAATAATCCCACCTGTATAGGTGTATGAAAATTAATTTTGAAAGCTAATAGGCCGGCACCATGGCTCAATAGGCTAATCCTCAGCCTGTGGCACCGGCACACCGGGTTCTAGTCCCGGTCGGGGCGCCGGATTCTGTCCCGGTTGCCCCTCTTCCAGGCCAGCCCTCTGCTGTGGCCCGGGAGTGCAGTGGAGGATGCCCCAAGTGCTTGGGCCCTGCACCCCATGGGAGACCAGAATAAGCACCTGGCTCCTGCCTTTGAATCAGCGCGGTGCGCCGGCCGCAGCGGCCATTGGAGGGTGAACCAACCAACGGTAAAAGAAGACCTTTCTCTCTGTCTCTCTCACTGTCCACTCCACCAAAAAAAGCTAATGAATATGCAAGGAACCCAAGGCTCAACCACAGTCAACATAAACCAGGGTCAGTTCTTCAGCACTTTCTGGTTTGTAGCTGTCTAGGACAGATATTCTTGACTTCTTGGTTTGTGTATACAAAACTTAAAAAATTATTTTGGTGGATTACTGGACTCTCTGATTCCCATTTGTATAATCAGAAAAATCTCTAGCTGTGACAAAAACAAAGCTTTTGGCAGACATGATATTTAAAGTCTAGCACTGGCACCCTAAAACCCTTCCAGATATTAGGAATGTGATAACTGGTTTCCATTATTTGTTGGTGGCTTAACTTTAAATTCGTATACATTGTGCTGTGTAGCAATTCCACAACTGTTCTCCCCATCAATCCTAAGATCCCAGGGCGGCTGTCTTTTCAAGTTGTGGAAAAATATCCCTATTTTAAGATGCACGTATTTAAAGCATCAGTTCTTACTAATTGAAACAGCTTTATCTATTTACAGAACAGAGCGTTCATTGGAATTAGACTAATGACCTGGGTAGCCTCAATTTATCACTCTCCTCAGAAACTCCCCAAAAAGCTCAGCTTATAAAGGGAAATCACCGGGTGCTTTGCAGAGTGCTGCTTCCGGACTTGACACATTGAGGGCAGGCTCCAAACCACCTTCCTCTGCCGCAGGTTTTCACGCAACATTAATGGCCCTAAGGATTCAAGAAGCCCCCGGGTTAAACCACCTACTCTAACAATCAGAGAGCCTGGCAGGCAAACCCTACCCGCTTCTGTGAGCCAACCAGCCTAGGAGGAGAAGCCGGCACTGAAGGAGGCGGGTCTTCCGCGACGAAACCCCGCCCCTCCCATGCCCGTCGCTGATTGGCGGCGCCGTTAGGCCCGGGGAGCAGGGGCGGGTTCGCGGCTCGGGAGCCCCTTTCCGAAGCCCGATCCTTGACGCCGGGTGGGTGTGTCCGGGGAGGCGGGTGCGCGCGCGCTCGCGTCGGAGGACCGGAAAGGAGGCGGGGCCGTGGCGGCGCGCGCCCCCGGAACGTGCGCACCGCAGGCGGCGCGGATCGCTGGGAGCGGGTCCGCCTCCTGACCGGGAGCCGGGCTAAGCGTGTAGCGCCAGGGCTCGCGGGAGACGGTCGCGATGAACACGGTGCTGTCACGGGCGAACTCGCTGTTCGCCTTCTCGCTGAGCGTGATGGCGGCGCTCACCTTCGGCTGCTTCATCACCACCGCCTTCAAAGACAGGAGCGTCCCGGTGCGGCTACACGTCTCGCGGATCATGCTGTGAGTGTGGCCGAGGCCCGGCCAGCGGGGCAGGGCTCCCGGATCGGGCCCGGGCTGGGGCCGGGGCTGCCGGCAGAACGCCGCGCCTCCCCGTGGTCCCCTCCTCCCGGGCGGCCATTCGTCGGCGAGGGTGGACGTCAGGGGTGGACTTGGCGGGCTTTTCCGGCTTCCCGTCGGAACTCTCACTCCTCCACCGTAAATTCCCGGGCTTGCTCTTAAATTTTAATTTTGAGTGTTCCTCGGGTCAGCGCCTCGGCTTCCTTCCTGTTCCTCACTTCCCTCGCCCGCGCTGGCCAATGAGGGAGCAACACAACAGCAGCGCCGCGGCGCCGCCCGCCCTCCCTGCCGGCCGGGGTCGGACGCGAGGCCCCAGGGGTCCGCCGCCCGGGTCCGGCCCGGCGTCGCTGGCCTCTCTCGGCGGCCGAGGGGCGGCTTGTAGGCCGACTTCGTCCCGTTTGACATGCCCGTGGCCGTTGTCTCGCCGTCTTGCGAAGGCGGTGACTCCTCGCATCTGCTTCGAAGTTGGCCAGGGAAAGTGGCAGGGTGCGCGGGGAGCACTGGACACCCCAGCCTGCTGCTAGGGCAGGGCTTGAGTTTCTTCATTCGTCGTCTTTTCCAGAGCCCCCCGCTTAAATAACTCTGAAAACTTCCAACATTCGGGTTTTGCAATGGCAGTGTCCGTTCTCGATTGCAGATTTTTTCTTAAGTAGTTTTTTCTCTCTACTGCTTTTATCTTTGATACGCAGCATTTCCCTCCCAATTCTCATCCCCTTTCTACTCAGTTCGTTCTTGCTCATTCTTCAGCCTTAGTTTACTTAATTCCTTTGTCAGAATCCCTGAAGAGCCAGTTATGTAATAGCGACCCCCTCCTTCCCTCCCTTTGTCCTCTCCTCCCCTCCCATCCCCTCTCCTCGCTCCCTCTCCGTCTGTCTTCCTGTTTTTCTTTTCGCTATATCAATATTTGGTACATACTGTTTGACATCAGATAGCCCTGGGGTGGGAAGCCGCACTGCCCTCAGCAGCCATATGGGGGCTTAAAAGACCTTGACACATACTGAACATTGAACACATGTTTTTGTGGTCTTAAACAAGTTTCTTACCTTTTGGGGTCTTAATTTCCTTTTGTTTAAAGTGAAAGTGATACCTGACTGGTAGGCTTGTTAGGATTGTTTGGAGTAATTTTGAAAAATGCACAGTGGATCAGACACACAGTAAGCAGTAATAAACACTCAGTAAATACGTGGTACTTCAGAAAGTTCATGGAAATGGAGTTAAAAGATTGAAGTTTATTTTGGGGCCAAACGTTTTTGAAATCCATGTGTATGAGTCCTCTCCAAAATCTGTTAATGAAAAATGTGTAGTATGAGGAAACTATGCATAGGTTTTTTAAAAAACGTTTGCACCAAAATAAATGTATATTTTGATTTGTTTTCCCAAGAGCTTTTTGAAGTACACTTGTAACACGTGTAATGTTTCACACCATATTGAAGTCATCTGTAATTTTCTTCTACCTGTTCTACAAAAGTGCTTTTACATAAAGTATAGTTCCTTTTAGCGTTTTTGTTGCTGATGATGTTAGAGATTCTCTCTTATTTTTAAAAATTTTCTTTAAGGTATGTGAACTTCATGCATTTCATAAATACAAATTTAGGAGCATAGTGATTCTTCTTACCCTACCCTCCCTCCCGCCTGCACTCCCACCCTTCTTCCTCCTCCCTCTCCTATTCCCATTCTTATTTTTTACTAGGATCTATTTTCAATTAACTTTATACACATAAGATTAACTCTGTATTAAGTAAAGAGTTCAACAAATAGTATGGGAAAAATAAAAACAAAACTGTTCCTCAACAATACAGGTAACAGGCTGTTCAATGTTCAAAGTCATCCCATCTCAAAACGTCAATTTCACTTCTATGGATTACCTTTTAGGTACTCTATTAGTTACCATAGATCAGGGAGAACATATGGTATTTGTCTTTTTGGGATTGGCTTATTTCACTAAGTGTAATGTTTTCCAGTTGCAACCATTTTGTTGCAAATGACAGGATTAGTATTCCATGGTGTACATATTCCATAATTTCTTCCAGTCCTCAGTTGACGGATATTTGGGTTGATTCCATATCTTGACTATTGTGAATTGAGCTGGGAGAGATTCTCTTAAGGCACATGAAAACAGCTGAAGATCTACTTTGATATTTGATTACAATGTTTATCCTGTTTTTAATTGCAGATTTCTGTGGATTTTACTGGTTTCTTTATGGGGTTGCTATTTCACCTGTTCACACAAGTGGATCCTGTCTTTAATTTTATTTAGAAACTATATGGATTTTGCATGATGTTATGTTTGAAGGATGGTAAAACTTTTATCTTCCAGAAAAAATGTGGAAGACTTCACTGGACCTAGAGAAAGAAGTGATCTGGGATTCATTACATTTGATATAACTGCTGATATCCTTTAAGAGAATATTTTATTGCTTTTTCTGTAGTTTTATAGTGAGTAGGATTGTCCCTCAGAATCTGTCAAACCTTGGAAATTCCTGTACCTGTATTTTTATTAGTAAGATAACAGTCACTCACACTTTGAGAAAATTTGCAAATTTCTATGTTAGTTGTATGGGCATTAAATTCTTCATGAAAACATTAAATTGATTCAAATATAAATGAGAAAAGATTGATTCTTGTATAGACAAGAAAAGATTGAATCTGAGTTTGGAGGTCATTTGGCTGGCCCTAGTGAAAGCCGGGACTCAGTTCATTTCTGTGCAGTGGGTAGCAGGAGCCTGATTACTTGAGCCATCACAGCTGTGTCTCAGGAAGCTCATACGCAGGAGTCAGGAGGTAGAACTTGCTTGGAACCTAGGCATTATGATATGGGGTGCAGGCATCTTAACCACTATGCTTATATCCACCCTTTCTAGAAGCATTTTATGTAAAGTCCCAGCAAATATATTCATTTCTTCTCATAGCTGAGAGAAGCATGTTTAAGAAGTGAGTTGTATTATTATAATTTGAAAGACCATTATCAAAATGATTGTTTTAAACCACATTAGCATTTGACCATTATAATTCTTTCTTTAATAAGAATCAGAGACGTCTTAATTTTCTTTTTCTTGGATTTTCATCTTGATAGCTCAGATTACTTTGGTTACTTTGATCTTCTTAGGATCATAGATTAATATGCTGACATTTTTGTTCTCTGCCATATCAGCCTGATCTTACCTGCCTGTTAAGACTCTGATCAAAAACAGTTATGGAGACTCAAGTTGGAACTTATATAAAGCAACAGTCAACAAATGGAGTAGATCATATGCTTCACTTTACTTGATGTGCCTTTCTTACTTGCATGGAAAAACTGAATTTTTTAAAGAAATAAATGATTGGATTTAGACAATAGGTGGAATAAAAGAGGGAGCATGTGAGTGATTGAGATGCAGGTTTAGATGCTCTGGTCCTGTATCGGTACCTGGATTTAATGCTCAGCTCCAGCCTACTCTTGACTCTAGCTTTTTGCTAATGGGAAGCAGCAGTGATGACCAAAGTAGTTGGGTTCCTGTCACCCAAGTGGGATTCCTAGACTTTGTTCCCAAGCTCCTGGCTTCTACCCTTGGTCTAGGTCATTGTGGGTATTTTTGTGAACAGTAAATGGAATCTTTCTCATTTTTTCCTTTGTCTCTCTTGCTCTCAGTGCTTCTCAAAAAAATTAAGTAGACTGCGAATTAGTTGATACTGACATTTTAGGCAACACAGTATATATCAGAAAAATCTTAGACTAGACTTTGTATATGTACTTTTAAGTCTTCATGTCATTTAAGAAATATTGAGGGAATTTAAATTTAGTGTGAAAGTAGTAATTTTGTGTTCAGGGAATTGCCGTGAAATTTTCTAATACAACTAGCATATTTATGTGTTATCAATTTCATTGTTTACATGTAGTTTAGATTTTCACAATACTGGAAATAGTACCTGTACTTGTAAAGAACTATCCACAACTTGCCAGTTTTAAAACAGTAATTCTTAGTGATTATACATATTTAAAAGTGGAATATAACAGATGTGTTGCTATTAGTATATAAATGCACATAATAAAATGATTTAGCACTTTTCATATAAAAATAAGATCCAAATACTCAGCTCATTTCTCAGTAATGACAACAGCCTTGTAGTTAATTTTGGTGAAGTTTTTTGCTTCCCATCCTGAAAGCCAAATGGTGCCAGACTGGTGCTGAGTTAGTTGCATTTTACTAAAACACTTCCTGTGTTGAGACATTTTGACCTCTGCTGGTATTTATGTGCAAAAGTAACTTGTTTAATTTATTATTCTTGCTTAATTACTTGGACCTAATTTATATTTGTTTATTGTTAAATAGTGGTGGTTGATTATACTTAGAACTTTGGTGGAATCATGTATTTCATATACTAAGTCCATACTTTTGGACTTAATTGCTGTTACAGAAAACTGAAATTTGGATTTCTTTTTTTATTTTCTTGTTAATAAAAGTATCTTGGTTAGTAAGGCTTGGAGGAGCAAAGGAGGATACTGATTTTTGTGTTTTTTGCTTCAGAATGCACTGATTTTTACAGTATATCTGCTACAAATTTTTATTAAATTAGTGGTTCAGTATGTTTCTGGGCCACTTTTTTCTATTTTAGTACTAATATTGCTAAGAATATCTATGATCACTTTAAAAGTTGTATGCTGCTTTATGACTTACATATTCCTTAATTTATTTACATCTTGAGAATATATTTGATTGGAATGTGAAGCAGTTATTTCTTTATTTATCAGCTGAATATTCAACAAAAAATAATGTAAGTATATGTATTTGTATATATACATCATAGCTGTTTAAAATATTATTCTTTATGAAGGAATATACAAAACAACTGACCTGAATAGCCTAGTAAAATCAAGTCACAAACCTATGGAGAGGTGGCTGTATTTAGAAAACTCCTTTGGTTGCTTCTCTTTTTCTCTCTGTGTGTGGCTGTCTGATATTATGGTCTTCAGAATGATGTACATGTAAAGAAATTCATGAGTATAAATTAAACAAATATGTAATTCTAGTAATGTATGAAGGTACCTCAGAAAGTTTGTAGAGGGGCAGACGTTTGGGGCAGTAGTTAAGATGCTGGTTGGGATGCCCAAATCCGTTGAAAGAGTGCCTGGAGAGTCTTGACTCTGTTGCCAATTCCAGCTTCGTGGTAATGCACACCCTGTGAGGCGGGAGGTGAAGGCTTAAGTGCTTGGGGTCCCTGCCACCCATGTGGGAGACCTGGAAGGAATTCCAGTCTCCTCGCTTCAGCTTGGCCCAACTCTGGCTGTTGAGAGTATTTAGGAGTGAACCAGTAGATGGAAGATTTCTCTGTATGTTATCTCTCTGTTATTCTGCCTTTAAAATAAAAGCAAATATGCAAAGGTTAGAAGTTTGGAAAGTGAAATTAAAAGGCATGTTGATGTTGGTGTAAATTTTGAACTTCTTGCATTTGTGGGGGGTCTTAAGAAATTCATTGAAAATGAGTATTCTGGAAAAAGTATGCTTGGATTTTGTAATTTTTTGCACCAAAATCAATTTCTTTTAATTTCCATTAACTTTCTGAAATACTTTGAAATATCTCAACTTAAAGTAAAAGGGAAAGAAGTTAAGCTTTCCTAATATTTGCTACTTAAACTGATGTTAATACTCTTGTTAAGTCCTTAAGTCAGATGGTCATGTCTTCTGCAATACTACATGTATTCAGAGGAAATTTATAGGGCAAGAAGTTAATCAGTGGGTTTTTGTTGTTAGCATTTTGCTGAATATTGCAGTGTAGAAATGGATTATATTACTCGATTTTAAATAACCCTCACAAAATGTAAACATTTCTTTCATCCTCCAAAGAAATTACAGTTTGAAGATAATGATAATGGGACACAAATACGTGTAAACAATAGGAAAATGTCAGAGCTGCTACTTCTGTTGATCTTGCTAAGTCATATTAAAGGATTAAAAAAAAGTAATATAATAAAGGGTTGACTAAGACAATTGAACATTGGATAAGAAGACTATTTGAAATGAGAATTTTATTCACTATCAGTGATACTACTTAACTACTACATGTGTGTTTTATATGTGTATACACACACATATCATTTATAAATATGCATGTTTTGGGGGTTTGTGCTCCAAACAATTTGTGATCAAAATGCCTGGAGACTGTTTCACATGGCAAGATCAGAAAGATTGTTGCTAAACTGTGCTGTGAATTACCTAGGAAATGGGGTTCTAGTCCCTGTGTTCCTCTTCCGGTCCAGCTCTCTGCTGTGGCCCAGGAGTGCAGTGGAGCATGGCCCAAGTGCTTAGGCGCCTGTACCCGCATGGGAGACCAGGAAGGAACACCTGGCTCCTGCCTTCGGATTGGCATAGCTCCGGCCATAGCAGCCATTTGGGGGGTGAACCAACAGAAGGAAGACCTTTTTCTCTGTCTCTCTCTCTCACTGTCTAATTCTGTCAAATTAAAAAAAAAAAAAAAAAAACAAAAAGCAAAAAACAAACGCTGTGCAAGTTATTAAAATTTTTTGAATCATCTGAGATGATTTTAAAAATCCATTTTAGTCTGAAATAAACACAGATCAAGTGAGCTCTTTTGCTAGCTTATTAGCCATATGTCTGCAGTTAATTAATTTTTGTTTACTGAGACCTATTTTCCTTTATTTCAGAATTGTGTGGGATACATCAGTCTGAGTACTTGGACTATACTGTATAATTCTAAATTATAGTTATAATAAATTTTAATTATATTGCTAAAAATTACCTTAAAACCAATCTAAATGATTCATTTAAGGTTGAAAGCTATTCATGTATTGTAATAGACCTTTTGTTGCAGGTAGGGGAGAGATTGCCACATGTATTTAGATTATTGCTGAAACAAATCTTAGGTTCTGCTTCAGTGTTGACACTAAAGGTACCAAGTGATAAGCTTACAAATATGAAAATGAAATCTTTGGAAGTAAAATGTTGTTACATGTTGTTTGTCTTCGAGTTATCCTTATATTTATCATTAGTGTGACCTGGAGATAAATTTATTCAAAGGTGAATCAGCATTTTTTTTTTTTAATTTAAATTGGAATGACACATTAGTGAGATTTGTTTCATAGTTTGAAAAGTTAATTGGAGTCTTTGGTATTCATTTCATTATATGTTTACTTTGAGCATATGGGTACTCAAAATGCTGGATACTTTGTTAGACACTGGAAACATTGGGATGAATAAATTTTGATTCTTGCCCTTGAGAACCAACAAAATGTTAAAAGAAGCAAACAGAAAATTCCGTTTTTGAAGTTTAGAGTAACAACTCAAAGGAGCAGACATTTGGTCTGGTGGTTAAGACACCTGCATCTCAGATTGGAGCACACAGGTTTGACACCTGGCTCCAGCTCCCGACTCCTATTTCCTGATAATGTATATCTTGGGAGGCAGTAGTGTTAGGTCAAGTAAGTAGTTGGGTTCTTACCACTGATGTGGGAGACCTGGTTTGTGTTGCTGGCTCCTGGCTTTGTCCATGATCCAGACCTGGCTGTTGAGGGATTTTTGAGGCATGAACCCAGTGAATGAAAGTGATCTCTCTCCCTCCCTCTCCCTTCCTCATGAAGTAGAAATCAGTCAATCAATAAATAGAATGAATGTATACATATTCCTTGAGGTTCAATAGAATTTTTGAAATAAATGTACTCTTATGATGAGTATACCTAAATTTCTAATTATTTATCCTGGCACAACTAGTATGTTGATACTAATTTCTTTATTGATTCCTTGATCATTTACAAATCATAGCGATTCATGAATTTTCTTGGCATAATCTGGCAGAGTAATTTGTAATAACAGTGTGATGGAGCAAGGATTTTGTCTCTGTTTTCCTGGCACCATCAATCTCTATTCTGAGCTGGGGGGGGGGGGGCTCTGAAATTGAAGAGAAGAATGATTTAAAAGGATACGTACCCTCTGAGGATTTTTTCTCTAGTATCTTTGTTTCTCCAAGGATTTTACTTCTGGGAGAGAACATATGAGTAGGTCTAACATTTTATGAACTGTAAGAGCCCCAAGCAATACAGTTGACCTAAGTGAAGAAATGAATTCCTTTATGGCAGTATCCTTTTTTACTCCAAGAAAAGTTTGCCCCTTTATATCTATGTCACTTATTGTCATTTTCTGTACACATTAGTGAGTCCAACTTTGAAAGACTTGTTAAAATTACAGTTGGATTCACTAATATGTGAAATTATTTGCTTTTTAATGCTTTAATTTAAAGTGATAAAATGTCATTTCTGATAAGTTATCTAATTAATTTTCATTTTAATGTAGGCTCTGAACCAGGTTGTCCTCTGGGACAAGATTGTTCTGCGAGGTGATAACCCGAAGCTGCTGTTGAAAGATATGAAAACAAAGTATTTTTTCTTTGATGATGGAAATGGTCTCAAGTGAGCATTCTCTTTTGTCATTTTTTTACGTTTTATTAAGATGTGAAAGTGAGTGAAAGATGTATTTTTATTTTGAGGAAAAACATTAGGGTAAAAAGAAGGAATATTGAGAAAGAAGTATTTATACAGATCTGAACTGAAAGATTGGGTAAAAATACAAATTGGAGATAACTAATCAGTTCTTTTACAGTATGTGAAATGTAATAATCAAATTTCTACAGGCCTACTGTGTCTACCAATGTATATAGGAAGAATGGGCTTGTTGGTAGGTGGTTGTGATTGTCAGATTGAAGGGCTGCTTTCTGAACATGACTTAGGGAAACCTTAATGAGGAAGCAGTGTGTTAGGTCTAGTAGTTGAGTGTGAGGTTTCTGTTTGTTCTCTTAGCTTGCCTAAACTTCACTGGGCATTGGAATGATTGATCTCTCATAATTTTTATATGGAATGCTCTGTGACTAAACTTAGAAGGGATTTTTAAGAAGAGAGTTATTTTGACCAAACTAGGCCTGTGTTTCCAGATGGAAATATCAGGCAGTAAGATGTTTTAGTTTGTTCAGGTTTGCTCATCTAGATAATGCCAGAATTAGGCTTTTAAGAATCATCTTCTGATTCCTGGCTTATTATTCGTTTTATCTTTGCTGTATTTTACTCATTTAAAACTTTTGGTTAGTAGTTCCATTAATTTCATCAATGAGTGAGTTTTGGTCATTAAGAGATACTTGTAGTTGTGAGGCTGGTGTTTTCCACCATTGTCTTTGGATTTCAGATGACATGAGAAAATAGTTCTTTTCGGAAGTAAGGATTCCTAATAGGAATAGCTAGTTATGATTAAAGTACCTAATACCTCAGTATTTGATTTAAAATGCTTTTATTGAGCAACAAATATTTGTACTAACTTCTCTTTATTATTATGTCTTTTTACAGGGGAAACAGGAATGTCACTTTGACCCTATCTTGGAATGTTGTACCAAATGCTGGAATTCTACCTCTTGTGACAGGATCAGGACATGTGTCTGTTCCATTTCCAGATACATATGAAATAACGAAGAGTTATTAAATTATTCTGAATTTGAAACAAAATATTTTTATACTTAATGAATTGTGTCTCATTTGTCTCTTCCCTTGCATCTTCATTTGTTTTCATTTGTTTTTGCTTGTTACTTTTTCTTCTTCTTTTTTTTTTTTCTTGGTGTAAGAACTAACATCAAAAGGCATATTTGAAGAAAAAGGTTAGTGCGCTACTTAAACCAAATTTTCCAAACAAAGCCACTAAGAGTGGAGCATTATGAGACTAAGGCAACTACATAATAACTATATGTTAAAAAAAAAAAGTTGGACTATTCCCTCTATTTCCATTATTATTTATGGGAATTTATGGAAATTAAAGTGAGCATGAAGGGTGGTTAAACTTCCAGGTGCCTGTAGAGTCATAAGAACTCTGTTTTATGCCTTGCGTTCATGCAAGTTCACATTGGATGTGATTTAGAAGTAGACATTTTCTTTCTGTCTCTTAGATTACTGAAAGAATTAATATGGTTATTTGTTAGAAGCCTGGTTTACAAAAAAAAGCCAAAAGTAATGGAATTTTATTCCACTTGTCTTTAGAATGCCCATGACACTTGTTTTTCTTACAGGTGACTAGTAATTTTTTTCACTTAAAGACTAAATACCTCTTTATATTTAGCTATAAAACATTCTAACTCATTTTAAATCTCTTAGGTTAACCAAATGTGTGTCTTTCAGTGCTTTCTCTAAAAACATTCCATTGTATTATATCTGTATAATTTTTTTTTAGCATTGCCATTGAAAGTTGAAAATGTTTGCATGGTTTACCCTCAGAGTTTAAGTTTGTTCTAGTGAGCATGCCTAGTGCCACTAAGTGCTAGTTATTTACACTTTTTTTTAGGTCCACACTTTAATAACTGTTGGGGTAATAATAATTACCAGTATTTGTGGTGTGCTTTTCTATTTACAAAGCACTCGTGTATTTTCTTGTATTCTATCCTCAGTCAAATGAGATAAGTAGTACAAGTGTTAGCTTTTTGCAGATGAAGAAAGTGAAACCCAGAAGTTTATTGAGTTTCTACAAGGTTATATAGCTAGCAAAAAAATGGGAGTTAAAACTTGAACCAGATATTCTGATTCTATAAGCTTACCTTTTTATAATACCTCAGAATACAGACTAGTAAAATTTCACTTTTAATTTCCATAGTATGCTTGGTTATCCTGAAGCTTCCAATAACTCATATAATAGGGATATCTTATTTATTTCTCTGCGTAAATTCACTTTACATACATAAAATGTATGAGAAAAATCTGAATGTAATTAAAATAATTTAGAAATTAAACACAATACATTCTTGAATATATAATCATATTTAACTTTTTTTTTTTTTGCAGTGGACAAAGAAATATACTTAAAGGTAGCAACTTCAAATCAGTTACCCTCAAGAGCAAAACTAAATACTATGGTTACACTGTTAGTAGTAACCAAAAGGGCTAATATTTTCTAAGAATAGTTTAAATTAATTGCTAGCAATTGTTCCATTTATCTCATATGAAAATCATCACTATTTAATTATATTAATTTTAATAGTTATTATATGTAATTGTATAGTTCATATAAAAGCATGTAGATAAGACTTTTTCAAACTAGCAGGAAAGTCAAAGAATATCATGGCTACCAGCCTTTTTATTAAGCTTTTTAGGGTCTTAGTTTTTTTTAATCTGTAAATTGGCAGAATTGAACTAGTTAACTTAAGTGGTGGTCCTTTTACTATACACCTATAAAATTTGTTTTAGCTGTTTGGCAAAGAGATGGAACAGGAAAAGCACCTTGGTAATGGGAGGTCAGGAAGATATTCATACTGGTCAAACTTTATATTAGATTTTACACTAGAAAGTTTATTTGATACAGATACATAGGCATGGAAACTCAAAATCTGCAGGTGTCAGTGCTTATAAATTGGGTTTGTTCTCGGAGTTTGGTGAGAAAAAAAGAGAGGCCCAACTAGTACAATGTGGATGAAGTTTTGTTTTTATCTAACGGAAACTACTCAGGACAGTGTTCCAACATGAAAGAAGGAACCTGTGTCTCAGGAACTCATTTTTGAGTTTGCACAGCTTTATTAGTTCATCTAATTCTACATTCAAAAAAATAAAGTTGTGTTCAGTTTGGTACCCATTTTCTTTGGTCTTGACATTTTAAAGGTAGCTCATAAAGTCTGTACAAAGACACAATGCTTCAGAATTCTGAAAATCTTAAGTGTGATTAGAAAAGTGGACACAGAGATGATTGTGAGAAAAGCAACTGCAAGACACTTACTTGAAGTAATTACAGTTAGGATGAATTAATTTTAAAATCTTGGGTTCATTATACCTTTTTCTCTGGCAGTTTGACCTAGAATAAATGACATTACCAGTGTTTTTATATTCCCCTAATTGATTATAATTTTGTGCTTAAAAAGAACATAACAAAAAGCTTCAGAAATTCTTAATATAAGAGGACAGTGTTCTATTTTAAATTTCTTTTCTTGAAATCACAGCTCTTTGGTGGGTCTAATCAGCAAATTAATAGCTGTAAGAGATGAGCTTTAAAGTGATAATGAACTTCTTTTCTTTTTCTTGCTATTTTCTGTCTAAAGCTAGAAATCTAAAGCTTTGAGTCTTTGAGATATAGGCTAACATAACAGAGGTATTTTGTAATGGTTTGAATTGGCCTGAAATGGGTTTGTGGGGGTGGAACATAAGCTGGGAACTTTGGTAATAAGCACCTTCATAAGAAATTCATGAAAATACTGAATATACATTTGAGGATTTTCTTAATTGCAATAAAAACTCAGCCTTTTTTCTAATGAAAGTGAATTTTGTTTACAAGTAAAAGTATGCATTTTAAAAGACTTTCAGATTTATGCTTTTATGTGAAGAAGTTACTGGAAAAAACCAAGTATTGTCAACTGAACAGTTTTATTTTTTTCTAGTGGGAGTGGGTGGTGGGAGGTGAACTGCGCCTAAAATACCTTCTCCAGAGACTGTATGCTCCTGTTCTAGACTGTAAGCTCTGTGAGGGCAGTCTGTCAGATTTTCCTTTGTTTATTCCCTAGCACCTAGCTGGTGCCTCACACATGATGGGCACCCAATAAATATTGATGATGAATGGAGTCATGTTTCTGATGTGGCCAAACCACAGGGACTGTAGGTAGCACTCTGTGTATGTGCTACCATTTTTTGTTGTTTTCATTCTTGAGTTCCTGTTGACATTAGATATGACTGGTTTTCCTCCTTCAAGTTCAGTTGTACTGTCCAGTAAGTGCTACTCTTGCCACAGCTTTTATGACCTGTGTTTTCCCAGACTTTTCAAAACAGAACCAACAGTTCGTGGCTGGTGATGAGACAGATATTTGCTTTACTTTAAAATAGCAGTGGAAAAACCCCAACAGACGCAACTTTAAGAAAACAAGCTCAAGATAATGTTTTATGTATAGCTTAGGAAGAAATGGCTTCAGCTGACTCAGTTTGAAGGACTGGTATATTTGCCGAGGCTCTACCAGCTTCTTGGGCATTGGCTCTGTTCGCTTACTGCTACTGCACATCTGGCTTGCCTGCCTGACCAATACATTACTGAATTGTGGGATTTTTATTCTGTCTCAAAACAGTAATTCTCAGAACATTTGCCAATGAATTCAGAGAAACAGAATAAATACTCCATCAAAACAATAGAAAATATTTTTTAACTTGATTTTGTTCTGTCAAGGATGATATAGAAGGTCAGCTAGAGATCCAACCTGAGGAATCCTATGCTGGACTTTCTATGTAGTCCTGAAGTGGATACTCCTATACTTTTTTACTTCTTTCCAGATGAAAAGTTAAAGCAAGAGTTCTGGTTTCGGTATGCTCTTGCCTGATTAATGGATTATGGCTACAGAAAGGAAACATCAATATGTGTACCTTTGTATATTCCAATAAACTACAAGGTTGGAGAAGCTTGGAAGCCCTTCCTTAAGTGCAGTTTATACACACCCCACTTAGGAATATTTTCAGTGTGGTTGGAAGTAAGTCATATAGGAATTGAAAAATAGAGGGGCTGATGAGTAGTATTAATACTTGAGACGAAATGAACCTGTGCCTATGCTAAAATCTCCCACTGTGCCCCTAAGCCCCACTTTGCTTGTTGGGAATTCAGAATGGTGGTAAACCTTCCCAGTAAATGAATATGAAGGGGTCCAGGGGAGGAATCTAAAGGCTGTGAATGGGAAGGAGGAGGGCCTTGAGATGTACTGAGGATCTGAAATAGTCAATCACAGAGAGGATTGGGTCTTCATAAAGTCTAAAGTTGTGGGTATTGCCCAGCTGTACTTAAGAAGTCTGGGCTTCTTCCGCTTTGGCAGCCTGCACTGCTGCTTTAAGAATGCCATAAATGCTTTTACTATTCATGTATGCAGACACAACCAGGGACTGTTAATTGGAAATCATACTTTCTATTGCACGTTTGCAAATGCCATTTTATAAGAATGCACTGATTACTATTTGAATGTTACTCTCAGCTCAATATTTGAGAGCCCTATTAAATACTATTACATGGCATTAAGTGCTGTTAATAGGTAACATCAAATTGTAGTAGCCTAAGGAAACAGACCAATGAGATTCAGGCAGCTTTCCATATGAAGTGACTGAAAAACCCAGGTGCCTGGTTATCTAGTGACTGTGACTCAGAGTTTACAGCCATTGACTAAAAGCTGGCTGATGGGTTGGAGGAAAGGAGCAGAGAAGACACACTTCCTTGGCCTAGGAGTGTCACCCACCAGCAACTCAGATGAGAATGATATGCACTACTCTGCAAGCAGTATCTGGGGAATCTTACGGGTAGTCGTTTCTTCAGAAGCAACTTTGCTAGGAAGCAGAAATCTGTCTTCCATTGCTAGTCGTCTGTTCCTTTCTGCTCATGTGTGCCAGCTCATACTGATTGGCCACTTGTATTTCAACAAGAAATAACCAGTTGAGTACTGTGAGTGGTTTTTCTGTGTCTTGTCTAGTGTATAAGCATTAAGTCTTTTCAGAAGGTGAGAGTATTAGATTTAAAGATTTAGGGCTTTGTTTTCTGGTTTTGCTTTTAAGGATTGGGTTTTAAAGCACTTGTCAGTTACCTGATAGGTCTAATATTTCCACCCTAGTAGTAGTCCACTGAGAACTTAATTCTGATTTTGACCTAGTCTATAATTCTGTTCCTCTCCCGTAACATTTATTATTTAATGCAGTTCAGATATACAAAAGATCTCTTGCTGGATACTGCTTAATGTTTGTGACAACTTTGATCTAGAGTTGTCCAGATGGGTTTGAGAGTTTGAGAAATCCAGGTGGATTTGATAACTGAGAGCAAAACTGTCATGTGCAGGTACACGTGGACCCATCAAAAACTGCTGGATTCCTACAGCTTTGATAAAAGGAGCATCAACAAAATTTGCTTGACTGAAAGCACATCATGATATAGCATATACCACAATCACTATTGACTTCCTTGCTTATCCTCAAACTTGCCAAGCAGAATCCTGTTGTGGGACTTCTGCACTTCATGTTCCCTCCTCTTTATTTCCTTTCCATCATTTTTTTTCTTTTTATGATTTTATTTATTTGAGAGGTAGAGTTACAGAGAGAGGCACAGAGAGAAAGGTCTTCCATCTGTTGGTTTACTCCCCAAGTGGATGCAACGGCCGGAGCTACGCAGATCTGAAGCCAAGAGCCAGGAGCTTCTTCTGGGTCGCCCAAGTGGGTGCAGGGGCCCAAGCACTGGGCAGTCTTCCACTGCTTCCCCAGGACATAGCAGAGAGCTGAATCAGACTAGATCTGGTGCCCATATGGGATGCTGGCATCACAGGTGGAGGCTTTAATTTACTGTACTACAGCATCGACCCCTACATCATTCTTCAAAGTACTTGTGACCTGAAACTAACTTATACACAATACATATTTGCTAAATGAATTGAACTAACAAAAAGCAAGAAAATCAGTGTGGTCAATTAATATTGCTTTAAACAGGTGTTTTGTCTGGTTTCTCAATAAACTTTTCAAGAACAGTTGAATTTATTTTTTGTATTTGAGTCCCTCTCTCTTCTCTCTCCTCTCTCCTCTATCTCACACACACAAAGGGTGACCCCCACCTGCTGGTTCACTCTCCACATGTTAACAATGGCCAAAGGGCTGAGCTGGGAATCAGTAACTCTGTGCGTTGAACTGTGACTGTGACTGACAATAAAAGGAAGCTGCAATCAGGAACCTGAGTTGGGAAAGGAACTCAGATACTTTGATGTGGGATGTGGGCACCCTAACTGGCAACTTAATCACTATGCCAAGTGCCAGCCCTTGAATTGGTTGTTTACTTTGAAAAGTTAACTCGAAATATCTTTTGGTAGTAATGGCTTGACAATGCAAGAAGGCTATGAAGGAATTTATATTTGAAATAGATTAGGCAGAGGACAATCAATGCATTTTTCATCTGTTGCCTTTTTAATGTTTCAATTGGATAAAAGAATAAAAGTACATGAGATATTTGCATAGAGTTGAGTTGTTATAAAGCAGGCACCTCTGTAACCACTACTCAAATCCACAAATGGAATAATAGCACTGCTCCAAGCCTGCCAGATCACTCAATACTCCCAACTGTCTTTACTTCTATGTTCTTGTTTTGTTTTTTTTTTTTTTCTTCTTTACATGGACTTTTTACCACCTATGTTGCATTCTATCACTAAATTCCACTGGCATTATGAATAGTAGGGCAATCTTAGTGGCTTAAAACACATGTATCTCGGGTCAATGAGTGCTTATGGTTGATTTAGCATGTACTCTTCTTTCCATCTGGGTTCAAAGAACACTTCCTTTTAGGACAGCAAAGAGCAGTAGAACTGATGAAAACTCTTGGAGCCTCTGAGAGAGACAAGTTTCATGTCTACTCATTTAATTGGCTAAAGCATGTCACATGGCAAGAACTGGGGATATCAATTCCATAGGGAAGTAGCCAAAGACATGGCACAGGATGCTCCTGTCATGGGGAGGCCGTTCTTAAAAGTGTAATATGATTTTTAACAGATTTCCTAAGCAATATAGTTTTAAGTTTGGTTATGAATAAAAGGGATTTTACCATAGGACCTTTTGTATTTCTTGCTGATTTGACTAAACACTAAATTTGATTCTTTTGTGATTTTGTGTGAAACTGGTTTATTTTCATTGTTACACAGTAATTCGTTGTCATCCAGAGCAATCCATTGTAGGTCTAATAGGCATAGTTTATTTACCTGATATGTTGGTTGGCATTTGTTGGGAGCACTTTTGCACAGGTAGCCATGTGTAAGTATCCAAGAGTTTCTTTAGGAAAGGGATCTTCAAAACATGCTTAAACTTAACAAAACAAAAATTTTGCTTGCATTAGTGGTTTTTGAAAAACTAAATATTAAAAACTTTAATTTTGTTAAAATAATTTTTGGCATATTGTAAATGTTAATATTTCACAGTACAAACTTACTTTTGTTTGTAATTTAAAATCAGTGTTTAAATTGATCTTTCGAGCATTTTTTGTGACTCCAGTGTTCTAAGGTTTAGAGTACTCTGTAATTGTTAGTAGGGTACAACTGATCAAAACATTGTGTATCAGACATTTTGATAAATAATTGCTAAGTAATTATAACTTGATGAAATTAGAGATGTTGGAGGGATAATTTATGGTGCTTTATTCAGAGAATTGTTTCAATATTCTTGTCCCCAAGGTTTTATAGCTTGCAGCAATGCACCATAGTAATTCTGCATGGGACATGCCTTTCTTTTGTGAAGGCTGATTTTGAAGAGAATAATGGGAAAGAGACTGTCAATCCTGGCCCCATTCTCAATCAATTCAATTTTGAAAAGTACATGAGAGAGAAGAGCTGACCTCCACAGCACAGTCCATCCCTATATACAGAGTTTCATATTACTCCTAACTGAAGATCATTGCCCTGGAATATGTACCCAAGACAGGGAATTTCTCCGTCTTGGGACATTCCTATCACCATCTTTACTCATACTGCTGCTTTTTCTCAAAGTGGTTATTCCCAGTGTGAGTTCTCTTTCTACACTTAGCTTACATTTGAGTTTGCAGACTGGTTTTTGCCATCTGGTAAATGTCTAAATGAAAGCT